AGAGGGAAAGTGTCGGGAAGCTCTTTTCAGAAGCCTCCGAGGTCCTGGCGACCTTCCAAAAGGAGGTGGCCGGTTTCATCGAGGATGGGGAGCGCTCCATGCTGGGGGAGGCTGAGGCCGATCTCCGCTGGAAGGAGGAGAGGCGAGCCAAGCTGGCCCAGTGCAAGCAAAACCTGGAGAACGTCCCCAGCACTGACACCATCTACTTCCTCCAGGTGCCTGGGTGGGATGGGGCGAGGAGAAGGAGCCAATAATGTTGTCTTTTGGGGTTTTGTCCCATTTCACGTGGAGCTGGGTGCCAGGAGCCCTGAGACATAAGGGCTGCGGAGTCTCACTCCTGTTGGCACAGTCCTCTCCCCTCCCCGCTCCCGGGGGGATTGGGTGGCCAAGACTTTCTCCTCCATCACCCCCACCTCCATCCTGGCCGTGACTCAGAAGCTGATGTGCTGCCCAGGCTGGGTACCTAGGTGTAGGGGGCAGAGAGTGAGAGGCTGGGGTGCCCCACTGCCCCCATCCAGCATCCCCCCTCCCTGGCAGCCCAGCAAGAGGAGACCTTTTTGGGAGGAGATGCTGCTCCATGCGAGGTGGGCGTGGCCTGGGTCCAGGTTTGAAGGGGAGCGAAGGGAAGGCGCCAGGAACGCGTGGCTGGGAAAGCGCTCTCCTCCCTTATGCAAGGCTGTCCTTGGGCCAAGTCCTGTGAGCTGCCAGTTCCCAAATCCTCCAGGGCAGGGTGGGGTTGTGGAACAAGAGACAACTTCGGCTTGTTTGAAACCTCCTGAAACTCTGTCTTTTTGGCTCAGGAATTTCAGGCCTTAAAAGTAGCCATGGAAGAAAACCTCTCCCCGGCTCTGAGTTTCCAGAACGAGCTGAACTTCACCAAATGCACTCAAGCCGTGGGCGCCGTGAAGGATGTGCTATCTGCTGCCTGCAAAAACCAGTGGGACCACTTGCAGGGGAAAGGAATTGATGGGCTGAGTTTCCCAGAGAAGGAGGAAGGTTTGTGTTCACCCAGCCCCTCTTCCCCGTCACCCTCCATCCTCCCTGCATAGGTGGGAGATGCCTGCAGGCTCGACGGCTCCTGCGAGTGCTGGCCCCTCTCCCACCAGCCCTGGAAGCTGCCTGACACGGTTGCATTGCACGTTGCACAATTCCTGTCTGGGCTTATGCCTTGTCCTTGAGGTTTTATGAATTTTTCCACGGAGACCGGAGACTGGAGAGGCAACAAACAGCCTGGGAGTTAGGCAGGGCCCTGTGGGACGGGGCAAGTGGCCAAAGTGGCCTCCCATGAAAGGGGACTCTTTCTTCCCAGCATAGACGATCCTCTTCATGGGGCAGGCTGTGGTCTCCCAAACCTGCTAGGGTTAGAAAGCCACCACAGGAGCTTTCTCCTGCACTCTTTCATTTAGGCTGAGCTCTCTCCTCTCTCATTTTCTTGGATGCCCATGGAAATTGCAGCCAGTTCCTTGTCCCCCCTGCCCATCTCCCTGGGGTAGCAAAGGTGGCATCTGTCCTTTCCTGTGTCCGAGCTGGCAGACATGTGCAGGGGGAGCTGGGGATGGCAGCTGGGGCTCAGGGGCCTCAGCAGCTGGGTACCACCGGGGTGTCGGGTGGGGTGTGATGCTCCAGTAATACCCTTGTTTGTGGCATCGGTTTCTTTGCTGATGGCAAACCCTTCTGTCCCTGTCTCTGCAGCGTTGGCCGAGTCCCGATTTTCAGACAAGTCAAACAATCCCGCCTGCCTGGAAAGCCGTGATTACTTCCTGAAATGTAAGCGAGGGACTTTTGCTTTGACAGTTGTTGCTAAGGTCCATCTTCCCTTTCCTCTCTCCTGGCTGGC